TAAAACTATATTTAGTCAATCAACAAGCAGTTGATGTAATTAAAAATTGTCTTTGTGTATCACACTTGTTAAATCCAAAACAGTGGTTGAGTTTCAATTCATATTTCAAAAATATTTAGGCATAGAATAATGATTAAACTCAAATTTTATTAAACTTTCGAACGATTGCTGTATAGTAATTTATAATTCAAAAAATAATTGTAATTTATAATTTTGGAGTATATGTTGAAATAAACAAAAATAAACAAAACCGGACATTTTCTAATTTGAATTACTCGATGACATAATGAAACTAACAGTTGCAATAAAAGCAAGTAGCATATGTAAACAACCTGATATACTTTATATTAATATCAATTATTTTTACTCGTCTTCCACATTTAAATAAACATTTTAATTAACATATAAAATTTCATTAAAAATACATTTTAAACTATTAATTGATGTGTTCTGTGAATTACAAATTTATTGTAAAACATTTTCTGAAAGTTACTTCTGTGAGATAAAAATGTTTCATTGAAAATATCAGCTGAAAATACCCTTTCATGCTTAAAAAAAATATCAAAAGAGTAGGAAATTCTTTAAAAAAAAACTTTACACTCCCATCGTGAAATGCCATGAAGCATTTTTCAAGACACAGCTGTATGCCAGTGTCATTATAACTACGAAAAGCCATTCTCCATATTCTGGATAGTATACATATATTTTTCGATCGATTACGTTCATCATTAAAATTTAATATAATATGAAAACTTTTAAAAATTGCTTTATTAAGAAAAAAAGAAAACGTTTTTTTCCCTGGAAAAACAAGCGTTTTTTTTTACCACCTATTACTATTTTAACAGCAACACAGAAGGATGCAGGTTTTGTAGCCGAAACAGCCGAAAAGGCTCTGCACTTAAAAAGCTCTTTCAATACCTTATAAGAGTACCAAAAAACAAATTTCTTACAAACAATTTAAAAATAAATGAATAAAAGAAGTTGCAAGGTTTGCTGCGTTTTACTGTGAAGGCAGCGAGTTCGAATTCCATGGTAAGCCTGGCAATATCTTTGGGCTGCCCATTTCGAAATCATGCTATCTGTTCTTCAGTTTGACACGAGATTTTAAGCTGTTCTAGGAATGAGGGCACAAGCCTGCATCATCATCATCAATATTTATCTGGGCGCCTGGGGCAGTTAGCGGCCTTTATCCCATTCGTCTTGAATTGTGATCTTTAGGGTGGTTCTTTCTGGTAATTGGAATGCAATTGGACTAAAAGGAATTTAAATATTTTGAATTTTAGATAAAATTACGTCACTACAAAAGTAAGCTGCCATCGGCCCTGAGGTTTATGTCTTCTCTTAAGTGCACAAGCCTGCATACGTATGTGTAACAATAAATATAGAAGTACTGGGTATACACAACTATTTTAAAATTAGTTACGAAGTTTGGGCAATAAACGGCGCAGTTAACTTAGGTTGTTGTTGTTAATTTACGTCGCACTAGAGCTGCTCACTGGGCTATTGGCGATGGTCTGGGAAACATCCCGGAAGATGATCCGAAGACATGCCATCACAATTTTGATCCTCTGCGGAGGGGATGGCACCCCCGCTTCAGTAGCCCGACGACCTGCGAGCGACGAGCACTTCACGGTAGCACAGTTTAACGAGGACCAATACCGCACACCCTCGGTCCCTACGCAGACTGATCCAAGTGGTCACCCACCCGCACACTGACCGTAGCCAGTGATGCTTGACTTCGGTGATCTACTGGGAAGCGTGTCTTAACGATCTGTCCACTGCGGGACGCAGTTAACTTAGGAAAGTTGCAAATGTTTTTTCAGGCTCCCTGGCCAAGCGGTATCACCCACGAAAGGTGGAATCACACTATTACCCTGGATGTATCTCCATGATCTCCATCTCGGTTTTGAGCGAGCTATCTGTTCTTCTACTTGACAAAGGTCTACAAGCCTTAATAATTAAGCACACAAGCCTGAAAATGTATACACGAATAAATCCAATAAACAATGTTTTCAAAGCAGCACCTTCTTGCAACAACATTTGAAAAAATGTACTTATTCCTAGGCCCATTGTGCATGTATGGACCATTGTGCAGCAATATTGCAACGTAAATAAAGTACCTACCTATGCCCAGGTAAATGTTCCAACTTAAATAGGCTGCAGAAACAGCATAGCCTGTAAGGTTTTGCCATTCAGCAATGCTATCTGTAAGAGTAAGTTTGTAATTAATTTTGAAACTTTGGGAGAATTAACAACTTATATTATAAGCTGAATGAAGCAAGCCTTATATTTATTTATTCCCATTGATTTTTCTTTAATTAGTTTTCGAAATTTTTGAAGCGCATTTGCAAACCACTATATAGTTTTTCTTACTTCAGATGAGCATATTTGCTTGATGGGGCTCTTTTGTGATTTTGGGACACGAACCTACGACCTTCACCTCCTAGTCATCTTGAACAGCACTCAACGCTTTAATATTTTATATCGCTGCAAACAATACAGCTTTCATGGGTTCTCCTAAGCCCTTCTTTTTTTGGTTCACTACATTTTGAATTGTAGTTTTCGTTCGCAAAAAAGGCTCTTCCCAGTAAACACCAAAGCCAAGTATTACTGGCTGCTGTCAATAAGCGAGTGGGTGACCACTTTTGTCAGCTTGCCAAGGATAGAGGTTACACGGTATCGGTCTTCGTTCAATTGTTCTACTGTAAAGTGCTCTACTTCTTGTGCAGGTCGTCGAACTTCCAGAGCAGGGGAGCCATTACCTCTGTGGAGGATCAAAATTGTGATGACATGTCTACGGATCATCCTCAGGGATGTTCCTCAAACCGTCGCCAATTGCCCATTGTGCAGCTCTAGTGCTAAAGAATATACACAGGGGAAGACATATACATATAACTTCTATTTACATAATATAAACCAGTCTCCCGAGGTTAGGTATAAGGGAAAACACAACATTTAGGAACACGACAGAGGAGGTCCTTGAAGCGGTTTTGCACCCTCCTTAGGTGAAGAAGAAAGTTTCTATTTTTTATCGTTGGTTTGCTCTGTATTTTTTACACTATTGATAAACAGCACTTTAGCATTCAAATAGAGTCTCGGTGCTGCCATCTAGTGTGGCAGAAACTAGACGTCCAAATTAACATGGCCAACGGTATCTCACCCATTGTGGTGGTCCTGAAAGAGTGGATACCACTTCTGGAGAACGCACTAGGTCTGCTCATCGGGAAGATTGATTGTGCAGCTCATATCAGAAATAACAAAAGAATAAATAATTAGTACTGTATCATTAATTAAGATATTTCTTTGAGAATACATTTGCATAATCCATGCTAATTAAATCTGCTAATACATTTTGTTTTATAAAGAAATAATAAAATGACGGTTGGCGAAAAGCAGAGTACCCAACCATGCAGGTAGAGTTTTCCAATAATCGGTTCACCGATGACGTACCTCCCGACTGTCTTATTCCTTCTTATGCCCATGCGCTGGATCTTAGTTCAAATGACACTCTGCTAAATCTGAGTATGTTGCCCTGATGTTGCTCACCCTGTAAGTTTTTTTTTTTTTTTTTAGTATAGCGTATCGCACCGAGCAGTTCCCCACCTCAGTTACGTTTTCGAAAAGCTAGACTTCTTCCCTTTCTATATTCTTTGACAGTTCGACATAAATTACAACAACTGCTACTACTTATTGATCAGCCCAAGACTATAAGTTGTCACAAAATCACCACACAAAACACAATATTCTTGGTTTTCCATGGCATACCAAATAAATTAAAACTCATAAAACTTTTCAATTATAAATAGAATACTTTCACTATATTAGAAAACTGAATGTTAACTTCGCTTATCGAAAATAATACCGAACACATGTACTTCGAATGAGATTTGACAAAGCAAAAGTAATGCAATGGAATGATAATTTTTGTAGATCAACAAGAAAAAGTTATCACATAAATTACTGCTGTTTCCCAACTAAGCACTGCCCCTGATACTGACAAAAAGTTTGGAATTATTGACTCTAATTTTTCCATCGTTTGAATTCCATTTATCTCCCGAAAACTTACCTCAAACTCGCCTCACATCTTCCAGAGTTATATGTTTTCATCAGTCAGGAAACGATTAGAACTTGTACTTTCATCAGTCACATATATCCAATGGAAATTTAGTCCCGCAATGGACTGATCGTTAAGACACGGTTCCCAGCAGATCACCGAAGTCAAGCATCACTGGCTGCGGTCAGTGTGCGGGTGGGTGACCCCTTGGATCAGTCTGAGTAGGGACAGAATGTGTGCGGTATGGGTCCTCGTTAAACTCTTCTACCGTAAAGTGATCGACTTCTGGTGCAGGTAGTCGGGCTATTGAAGCGGAAGTGCCAACCCCTTTGCAGAGGATCAAAATTGTGATGGCTTGCCTTCCGATCATCCTTTAAGTGCTATAGCTAATCAGAAAAAGGGTGAAAGGTGGATTAACAGTAAATTTTTTCCGATTAAAATATTTATAAATTCTGTAAGTAGTGGTCTGGAAACAATCGAAACTTGCTATTACCTAGTTAGATGACAGTCTATTAGCTAGTTAGATGAGATCAAAATTTTGATTTCGTGTGGTTCGCAAATACGAAATAAAAAAATACCGTAAAAAGAAAAGAGTTAGAAACATTTTAATGAGCAAAATTGATTCCACGTTATTGAAACGCTATTTTCAACTTAAACGAATTCAGAAACCAGCGTAATTTCTTGAATAATACGAACTACCTTAACATTGTTAAACAATTTCTTCCAGCAATTCCAATTAAATATTTTTGTTTCCTAAAATAAGTACGACGTTTTACGACGTAGTAACAAAAATCTAAATAGAATTAAATTTGTCATAAAATAAAATATTTACTTCTTTCGTCATGCGCTCTATGAATTAAAACCTCTTGCAATATTCATTCTATAATAAACCGCAAAAAAAAAATTCTAATAACTCCAAACTATTTAAATATTAAATCACGTGATATAAAATTAGTCATACTGAAATGATAGAAGACTCTTCAGAAGACATAACATATGTTGTGTCTCTTCATTTTTTATTCCGTCTTTTTATCATTAATACCCGGATGTCGATCAAAGTCCATTTACTACGTATTCTAAAAAAAGGTGTTCTAGGTGTTCGTTACATTAATAATTCTAGTTTTGTTTACGAACCAAAGCTTTGAATAATGTTATAGGTAATTCATCATATGCTGAAATTCTGGATTTTTGTTGTGAAGTTTCTCCCATAATGCATTACTAAGAATAAGGTAAAGTATTGTTCCAATTATTTTTATTGACATAAAAATTGTTATCTTTTTGCCTACACAGGTGCGCGATACAGTTACTTCAAAAAAGATAATGTATGTATTGATAATTACATCTCTTTGTTTATAATAGTCATTCTAAAAAATTCAGATTATTAAACATTCTTTTTAAAACAGGAAATTAAACATTCCTCTTTGATAAGTTTTAATAAATACTTCAATTTATTTTTGATAACTATTAAAAGTTTCATGGTTGCTTATATTGGGAGTTATCCAAAGACATAGTCAATTTTTAACTGCTTAATTTAAAATTTGATAATACAAAATTTTCTACCCTAGTTTATATTAAATCTAAAGCCGTTTTTTTACTGTTGAAGTTACGGTAAATTAAAGTTTTAAATATGTATTCAATTAATATAAAAAGATAGCTTACTTAACTCATAATGTATTATTATATCGTTATATATAGCCCAAAATGTGAGTTGGATATAGCATATTTTGAGAAATAGAAACCTTCTATTGTATTACCTACAGTTCAAATTGTATTCTTTTTCTCAATTTAAATGTATTTTTTTAAAATAAAACTAGCCTTATAAAGAAATTGTTTGATTACAAATTGTAATATAAAATGGGATTAAATTTATAAAAAAATGTAATATATAGTCTAATTTGAACATGTTAAAAAAAATTTAAGCAAAACTAACCATGTATATAAAGAAATTTTTTGGATTAGAAATGATTAATATAATAATGACGTGGAATTTATGTTCAATATAAAAGCAAAAATATACTTGTTTTTAAGGAAGAAATACAAATTTCTAAAAAAAATATATAGTATGGAAGTTGTGAAAAAATGTAGTAGAAAATTTTATTATGTTTTTTATGACGGAAACTGAAATTATTTTATAGCAATAGAAATAATGCAAAACGCTGAAAATAATTTTAACATGTTTATCGCTGAAAAAGAAATCAAAATTATTTTATTGTAATGTTATGGAAGTTATGTAAGTAGATCTACGAATCTATTTTCACTGTAATTTTCTATAATTTCTAACTTCGCACTAAAAATTAAAAGTATAAGTAAGATTTTTCTATGCTTGATTTATTAAAACTTCGCTTACATTTTAGATTTTTACCTTTACTGTAAGCAAAGTTAGTATTTCAGAGAAATAATTTTAATTTTGTTTGTGTTGAAATCTTATTTTGCTAACTCTGTCTCTAATTTGAAACGTTTGGCTCTATATTTCTGAATTGACTAATTTTGAATTGGTTGGAAATGTTCAAACAATTCAGTAAACATTCTTAACATTCTTTGTTCAAGCTTTATATTTGAAAGGAGTAAAAATTTCGAATTTTACACATTTTATCAAATATTGTATCATAAATATTCATAACAAAAACGTGTTTATAATATCCTATTTTAAGTTTGAAGCAAATATTTAAAAAAAAATAGAAAACGATTCCAAAATGCATCTTTTTAAACAATTTTTACTATTATTTTCTTGTTTATTTCATAAAATAATATAAAATAAAGGTAAAAAATTAGTTACTTTTTAAGATTATAAAATAAGACACTTATGATGTTATATTGCCTTCTGTACGAGTTTGTGATTTATTTATTTACTTCGTTCATAGCTCGTGAAGTGTTTACAAAATATGCTAACTTGCTGGTATAAATATGCAGGGTGTTCTACCATGACTGCCGTGAATATGTTTTTGAGTAATAGTAAAAATGCCGTTGAGAAACATGCAAGTTGGAGTTGCATAGTGATATCTGAGGAAGAAAACGGATACCAAACTTATCTTGCTAAGACATTTTCACTATTAATTAAATCAAAGGAGAGTTTAATCTTAAAAAAATCATTTTATTTAATTCGTTTTGCCTAGTGTCCTTGAAAAAGACTGTTCCCTTTCACGAAAAAGGAAAAAGTGGTGGCACAAGTGTTTCATTATTAGGATTTGTTCCGCAGAAACAATATAGTTTTGTCTACCATAGTATATTAATAATATAAATATTTATATTTGGGCATTAAAAGCTAAGCACAGTTCCGTACAGAAAGTAGAGAAACAGTATATAGAAAGAAATATGTGCTGGTTTTAAACAAATAAGTAGGGGAGAGTCGGGTAGCCCCGCCCAGCTGGTACCCCCGCCCACTGTCAATTTCATATGTATAGAATATTTTTTCAAGTCAATGGGCCATCGGACATTAATTGTTATATTAAAAAAAGATTATTTTCGAAGTTTCAAGTATTTATGCAGCTGGTAACATGGTAAACAATAGTTTTGAAAATATGTTGAATACAGTAGTCATGAAATTAAGAAAAATTGGTTGAATGTTTCGATTAAACTTCATTTTAATACTAAAAAAATAATTTTTTCTATACATACAGCATTAAAGTATGTAGTCTTAAGTTTAATTTGCACAAAGAAAGAAGTTTGTATGTAAAAAATTGTTCGAGTAATTACAAATTTACAAAAAAATTGGATTTCGGGTAGCCCCGCTCACATGAATGTCGGGTATCACCGCCCAATTTTATTTCGTCGATAAATGTACGGTTGCAAAGATTATTATTTTATTGCTTCAAATTTGAATGTTATATGCATTTTTAACAACAAATATTGTTGTTATTAAATGATTGTTATTAAATGATAGAATTCACTAAAAGTATATAAATATGTAATAAATAAAATAATTTTGTGATAAAAATGATAAATGAGGTTTATCTATTGTCAATACATTGGTCATTTTCATTTACACCTGAAAAAACAGTCAAAAAATTTAATTTTTGCAACTGGGCGGGGCTACCCGACACATTTTGAAAAGAGCTGAAAAACATGTTTTTTTAAATTTCTATTTTTTTAAGTTAAACTATTCCTTTTTGTGGTTTATTCTTTTTGGATTATTTAATTAGATGATAAAACAATAGAAACATACAAAAATATTGATTATTACTCAATATTATACAGAAATATAAGCAATACTCCTTAAGTAGGTGGGGCTACCCGACTCTTCCCTACTACCGCATTTTCATCTGTTTTTTTCACACATAGTTTTTCATGAATTTGTTCGTAAAAAAGAATAACACTCTTGCAACAGTCAGTTTATAAGTCAGGGAGGTGAAGCTTCCACAATTTCGAGGTCAACGGCATGATATCATCATGGCAGTGTAATCATCATGGCGCACCGGTCGCCTTTACTTCCCAGACTAGCTGAGACCCAATGAATTGAAGGTGGGAGGGTTTTAAAGCTACTACAGGAGCTGGACACTCGACCATTATATAATATTAACCTGTTTATAATTTGGCCTCAAAACGTTTTCTCTATTTGATTTAGTCAAACATTAGCTACATTTTGGACGTAATGCAATATCTCTACAAAAAAATTTATCAAAATCATGCGTCATTCTAAGAAAAAAAATAATATTACAAGTATATTTGTTAAAATATTTTCGGAAAACAGATTGATTAAAAATAAATAAAACAAACCTGACTGGTTTCTGGACATTAAAAAAAAAAAAAATTGGAGTCAGATTTGAAAAGAAAAATAAATAATAAAAAATAAATAGATAAAACGTTACATTTTAACCGAACATTTGATACATTCAAAAAATTGAAAAGAAAATTATATTATCAAAATTTTGTTTTTCTAATGGGGCCCATGCTCTCATTCGAAAATTTCAAGAGAAAGTGATACTAAAAAATAATTTCTGTTAAATTTGTGCCAAAAAATATTTTCTTGGAAGGAACCAATTCTGTAAACAAACTTGTTGGCACTAATGATTTGAACTTAAATTTTTATTAACTACTTATTTTCTGTTATTCACGCATCATGCTTTCATTCCTCCGCTAAATTCAATTTTGATTTATGAATTCAATGCCTTTCAATACAAATAAAAAAAAATATTCAACGTACCACGCTGTTCAATTCAGAAGATGTTTCTTCTTTTTTTTCCTTCTTTTTCGTAAAACTTTTCTTTTCCATTTGCTAATATTTCGATAAATATTTTCTAACAGATTTTCTTTCGCGTAAGAATGGCTCAATGAATATTCTTCTTTTTTTACAAAAAAAAAAGAAAGAAAAAGGTTAAAGGTTCATATCCTTGTAATGATTGGTAAATTCAGTGTTTCCCAAACTTAAAACATTTTTGTACCCTTTCTAAATTTTTCGTAACCCTGTGTACCACTAATAAGAAAATAAATGTATTTTTTTGAAAATATGTTTATTTTTCTCTTCTGGCACTAACTTTTTTTAGTAATCTTATTTGCATCAGTGAGAAGGATGTTATTGTTTTTGCTGTGATAACTGTTATAGGGATAAAAATTATATTTTATAAAAATAAGTAGAAAATAGAAGTCAAAATAAGTAGAATTTATTACAAACCTTTACTATAAAAAATTGCACAAAAGTTAAAAGTCACAACTGGCTGTTGACACCACTAATTATTAACTGTTATCTCTGCAACAAATAGCCAATAGAAAAATACGTAATCGTAAATTTTCATGGATAGCTTTGTTTTTAAATAAAAGTTTTTGAAATTTTCGTTTGTTGCAAGATATTTCGCATAAGAACTCGTACCCCCGCTAAACTGCTCCCGTATCCCTGAGGGACCACACTTTGGGAAACGCTGGGTTAATTCATATACTGTTTTCAGCCTGCACTATACACAGTGATGAGTCAAAATATCCAAGATGAATCATATTTGAAAATATCATTTTATTACCGTGGCGGTAACTGTGAGAGGATTGAATGCGTATTTGTTTCATTCATTCGAATAGCATTCAATGCATTTTCATACAATATTTTCGAAAAAACTAGTTTTTCAAAATATGTTAATCAGAAGTTCTTATTCTGTTTCAAAAATGTATTTCCGCAGTCAGTGATTCATAGTCAGGTAATGTTCCTTTATAGCATTAAAAATTCGAATTGGATATCTGCAGGCGACGATTCAGCAGCCAATAAAGTTTGACACACACGCTTGACTTCGCTTGCAGGTATCCATTTAAATCTTATCCGAAAATTGATTAAGCATGTTAATGAACCAAGCTTTGTTACTATAACGTGTGCACGCCATCTTATTTACACACAGCCAAGCTTATTTCAGTGGTCTTCTTCTTCTCGAGTTTCAAGTACCCAATTGTATGCTCGAAATACTATTTATTTCACATTGTATCTGTTATAAATCTAAACTTATGAATATTTTGTATTCTCTGAACTAAAAAAATTTTTTAGTCACGTGATATAATTTTGTAACTGTGCTAAAGTAGAGACATTCCATTTTAAAATTACTTTTTAATGCATTTTTTTGCGACTGTGTTTATTTTTAGAACAAGTCTCCTCATGAGTTAAATTACTTTTTTATACCTATCTTTGTAACTGTAACTGTGTTTATTTTTAGAATAAGTCTCCTGATGAGTTAAATTACTTTTATATACGTATTTTTGTAACTGTAACTGTGTTTATTTTCAGAACAAGTCTCCTGATGAGTTAAATTACTTTTTTATACATATCTTTGTAACTGCGATTGTGTTTATTTTTAGAATAAGTCTCCTGATGAGTGAATATGATGCTATGGGTGTTATGGTGTTTGAGCCTGAGCACAGTTTACGGTGTAACTGATTTCTTCCTGGAATATCCAAACCCACAGGTCAAGTGGAGATTGTGTGGTCAGCAGAAAGCTTCATATATCTGTGATCCTAACTTCATTCTAGACCGTGGAGATGGTGTGTATACCAATAAAAATCTTTATTTATTAACGGGCTTTGCTTACTGATATAAATTGTAGAGGGATGTATAATTTATATTAGTAATAATATTAGTAATCAGTAATCCAGGGTCACCAATTGGGGAATATAGAACACTAGAAATTCTTCGTGTCTTGAAAGAATGGAAAAGATATTGTGGCGTCAACACTGTATGTCAACAGAGAAGATAGAGGTTTTTTAGTTTTAAAATAGCACTTAAATCACTAAAGTTTTTAATTAAGTTACGCTACCGAAAATGGTTAAAGAGTATAGTGTAACAATTAATACTTTCCGGGAATTTCATGGAAACTTTAATCGAACAAAAATCGGAATTGTAGTCTAGCTTTCGGAAAAACTGAGGTCGGAGTTGGTTTCAAACATTTTTCAACCATTGACTCCACAACTCTAATCAAAGCTACGAATGCATGAACAAAACTGAAAAGCATATATCAACGCAAACAATAAAACTAAAATGTTTCCATTTTTTTTATTGCTCTTCCCGGTTGCTTTACATTAGTGGATAAAGCAAAACACATTTTTAGATGTTCATCCCATCAATTTAACTGTATTAAAATAAAGATTAACTGTAATTAACAGTATCATTTGGTATGGTGCTGTTGCTCCATGCTGACCCATGAGACACAAAATTTACTATTGTCGAGCAATTTTCCCCATTTTCGTTCAGTTTCTGTTGATCGTAAAAATCTTGATACCATAGTACAGACAGTAGTACATGTATTTGTACATTTGGTACCTGTTAAAAAAAGTACAAATGTCCACAATACCATAAGTACTAAGTACCAAAATTAATAAAGTTTCAAGCCATCGTTAATAGTAGGAGGAAATGTTTTTTACGATTTACTTAAATGAATGCCTTATCTCCGTTGATTTTACTTTAAATAGATAACTTATTTTCTTTTAGTCAATTAACATTCATTTAAAATTACTTAGTTTTATGGGAACACGTTTTGAAAGCACAGCTATAAACAAAATAATCATGTTTAACTTCAAAATTACTAATTCGGTAAAGTAGCCTTCAAATGGTATAAACGTTGATCACAGAACTTGTGAAAATTAACTAAGCATTAAAGAAAGTTCAATGAATTCCTGAACAGAACTGTCTGCAGTCTAATCTATAACAAAAACCGATGCTGAACCAATGGGGAAAATTCAACATAGCGTAACGACATCGAGAACAAACAAAATACTGACTAAACACAAAAGAAAAGTTAAGAAAATGAAAGACACAACATCATCGTTCTTTGGCACAACATTACGTATCCATGTTTCTACACTGCCTCCAAAGAAAGTTAGCGAAAGGTATAGTTTATAACATATTAATCCAAAATTGTAATGGGAGAGATTTATTTATTAATGTTATTTATTAAAAATAAGAAATGATGTTTCAAACGTAAAGATCTCTACAATAATAAAATATTGTCGAGATCTTTGCGTTTGCCTTGAAAAATTAGGTTATAGGGACGTATCAGTAAGTGAAGAAATGTTTTATGTGATATAGAATAGCCTTATTTTTGTTACTTCTAGTGGAAAAACTAGAGATGCTTGCCAAAGAAATGAAAACTTCCACCAAATGCCTGTGTTCAGCATGTCCTGAGGACACTAACGTTCAAATTGGAATCTTCATTAAATATAATCACTCAAAAGAGTAAGAAAAATTTCTACTTTTATTATAGTAGTGCTCATGAAATAGAAGTGCGCAATGGAATTCTGATAATCAGAGTTCCGACTGTTTAAAATGAGTCGGAATCCTATTTTTTTCTTAATACGAATTGAGAAATGTTAAATAAAATTCCAAAAAACTAAACTCGTGTCAAAAACCGAACTCATTTTTTTTAATTATTATTATTTAATAACCGTTGAACAGTCAACCCAATTTTAAGTTTACAACTTTCGATGTTCAACTTTGTTTCTTTGTAATTTTGCATCCAACCCAGAAGACAAGAGAGCTCCTAGATAACTAGCCTTAGATTAACTATCCTTCGTGGAGGGCTTTTTGATGGAACTAACTAGCATTTTCGTTATATGGAGAGTGAAACCTCGCACGGTTAGCTTGATTGAAAGGTGATTCCAACAAATGATGCGTTTATAACTGAGAGTATTTTGCGTCAGCACCATGTCTGGGCGAGGCGAGAGCAGAATTTGAAACAACCAGCCGCCGCTGGGATTCGAACCTGGATTACCTTGGTAGGCTAACGCTCTATCTCTTGAGCCACCGAGGCTCCTTAAACTTAGGTTTATTTAACTTTTAACCCGTAACAAACTTTTAACTCGTGATGAAAGTATATTTGCATATTGAGATAAATGACCTTTAGAGGCCTCTTCCCTTTCTATCTTGGATGGAAGGTTTTATTTCTGTTTTCTCTATTACTGATTGGCAAAATGGGTGTTGTTTTAGGTTTGATGGCGTGCGCACCTTATTTGGACGTCATGACTCTTGTCAACTGTGTTCAAGAGTAATGCAATGCTTTGCTTTGCTATGGCGACAGCTGCTGTTTGATGATTTTTTTAGAATTCTTTTTTTCTTTTTAGTTTCACCAGTAGTCATCCTTAATGTATTTACATAACAAATTCTTTTTATTATTAAACTTATAATTACTGTCCTGACGGTGATTTTAATATAAATATGAATACTGAAGAAGGAAAAGTATTTTGTGATGTCTTGAAACACGTACATAGACAGGATTTGAAAACCAATCCGACAACAAACATCAATTGAGACAGTTGTTTACAACCCATGATTTGAAATGTTGTGGCGTTCATCGGAGTCAAACCAGAAAGAAAAATATATTTGACCAATGGGTAACCAGTGATCGTAATAAGGCCATCACAACTTCTTTCTTTTTAACCCCTTGACACAGAATTTTTTTTTCTTTTTTTTTTTCATTTAAAAAATTTATGATGAAACATCCACTTCATTTAATCTTTTAATAAAAGGGTAAAATCAAGGTTTCATTTTATTTGATGAGGAGAAATTGCGCGTAATAGGTTTCGAACTTTTATGACAGATTTTTTCTCCAAATTCTCTATTCCCTAATATCACGGAATAAACGAAAATAACTTTTCAAGCAAACATCTAATTAATTGAGGCATGATGTATTTACTGATGAAATGATCAGGAAGATGATTCTGAAGTCAATACTATGGGAATCGCTAGGTTTCAAAACTAACCAAAAAGCTAAATGAATAATGAGTAACTCTATTTTTTTGTCTCATTCTGTGCTTAGGTACTAATAAAAAGTATTTCTTTTAGGACCCAATCTATAGTATGATGCTTGTTTATGTGATATTTGTTGTTTTTTTACGTTGTTGAATTTTATTAACTTAAAATATCAATATTATGTTTGGAAAGCCCCCTCAAAAGTACTTATATTGTTGAAGGAAAAATAAAACAGGATTTCTAAACTATCGAATCAGTTTCATGAAACTGAGAAATTGTCTATTTTCATCATACAGTATTGGAGCAATAACTTCCTTATTCAAAAACTTCTGCTTGCTTTCAGGCTTACTGTAGAAAATCCAGGAAACAATTTAGCAGAAATGATAAGAAAAACATGGCATCTTGGCGCATGTGACGACGACATCATAATTGTTTTAGTCACGCAACTAAATATAGTAAGTTGCACTTGATTTAATTTTAAATTTACTCATACCATGTTTGAACCTTGCTGTTGTTTATCTTGTGCAAATACCCAACTTAACTGATATAGTAGCCCAAGCTGCATATAATATTAGATAACATCATCCAACCAGCAATTCTAACGTTACTTTGCACGATTTCGAATGAAATATCAAAAAGTAAAAAAAGAGCTTTTTAGTTGCACTTTTTTTTGTTACATGATTATTAATCAATAAGTATTCAGCCATTGGGAACTCTCAATAAATCAAAGAACTTTTTGAGAAATTGGCGTTGCATCATTTATATCAAACTAATTATATTATTTAAGGCAATACCTTTTTTTACGGTCAGAAGATGAAATCTTATGGTCGGAATGTCCAAAATGTGCATGGAATAAAATGAGAAAAAAAAACACAATAAAAGATCTAGAACAAATGACACAAAAAAATGCGACAGTGAACAGACAAACTCTTGCAAACCTGCAGATTTTTAGATGATAAACGAATTTTGAAACTAACTAGACTCTGAAAAAAAAATTCGAATGTTTTTAATCTTTAAGATGTGCTCACACTGAGTTAAATCGAGGCCCGCAAATTCAAACATAGTGAAAGTGACAGATTTTAAATCGAATATCTATAATTACAAGTCTATAATTATTAGACTTTGACGAATAACATTTTTATCAATAATTTTGACGCATAATTATAATTTATTACAGCAAATAGTAAGAATAATTAATGACAAATAATAATCATTTATTATTAAAAATTAAATTAACAAAATTATATATTGCACAATTTAAAATAGCTTTTTAATTTTTATTATTTTAATTAAAGTAATTGTGTCCATTAAAATGTAAGAAAACTTATAATACTGTGTACTTATACAGAAATTGGACAATCTCTATCTTGTATCCGGTGCAATGTCAGAAAATAAATCCATTTTGGAAAATAATTTTTGAATTATTTAAATTTCTGAAACAAAAGTTTTTTGTCCTTTTTAATAAGTCTAATTTAACACTTTAAATTTCATCTACGAGGGAAGTTTTATCCATTTTCTTTCTTCCACAAGTTAGGGATTACACACTTATTTTAATCCCCTAGTCAGATTTTGCTCATTTGTTTTCATCAGTATAAGATTTTACATTTTTATTTTCTTCCTCTTGTTAATTTCCTCACATTTATTTTCTCCTTGAATCAGATTTTACATCTTTAGCTGCATCCTCAATTGGGCACTTACAGTAAGTGATTATGACCTAATAGCCATGTGATCTATTTCAGATTTAATTAGATACTAAGTGACGTCATGCATGTGTCGAACCAGATTGGCGTCTGAATCAACAAATGCCACAATTTATCCACGATGACGTCACTTGTAGGTATCCAGTGGGATACCTGCAAGTGACGTAGTGTGGGTATCTCGATCGTGATTGGTTGTTGAAATGTGGCATTTGTTTACGTTAGCAACTACTCTTTCGAGTAAGCCAAGCCCGTCATATATCGATTCTTTTATGTAACACAGCCTATATTCTTTCACAAAGTTTTCAATTCTACCACTACATATTTACTCAAAGACTTAACCCATAGACAGGCACGAAGCCTGTAGAACATAAACAAACTTATTATACATCGAAGTTATCAGGTACACAAAACAAAAATATATCACTCTTACAATAAAATGCATAAACAAATAATAAATCTAAGTTAAGTAAAAGAAGTATACTAGAAAGAATTATATTTCAACAAATTTGATGTTTTTAACGGCTTTGTATTCAATTAACTTCCCGTTAATTAACATTTTAAGTAGAGAAACTTAGCTCAACTTTAATAAGCCATATTGCTGATAAAGATTAGCTGGTACTTACGTCATAAGTCACATGAGTGGGTATTGGTTGTCTTCTTCTTGGAGTGCAAGTACCCAATTCAGATTTTATGCATTTATTTTCTTCCTCATTTCAGATTTTTATGTATTAATTCATTTTTACTCTCCAGACAGGTTTTAGCCTGGGTTCATCTGTGCAAACTATCCTACCAGAAGCGACAGCAGCTCAGATTCTGCAGGACTGTCAGGTCCACTTTAATTCCGGATACTTTTACCAGGGACTGGAATCCATTGTCAATTCCTTTAATGACATCATCATCCGGGAACAGAAGAAAAGTTCCGACAGTTACCGTGAACTTTTGATTGGTCTCTTGATCGGCTTCGCCGTGCTTCTCGTCATAACATCTTGTGCGTTTGCATTCCACTTCCGACAGGTGAAAAGAAGAAAGAAAAGCTGCTCGGTAAGAAATTAAAAACCATATGAAATATGGGGGGGGGGGAAATCCCTATGCAGAAAAAAATTTACGACACATATAACGTAATAACGCTAAGTTCTTATACAGAGAGTGCATAGTAATTACAATACCTTAAGTATTTAATCATAATTACAATGCTACTTTAATCAGAAATAGAAAACAAACAAAATAATTTATAATAACGCAACTTGTGACCCAGATTCGAATCCCAGTGGTTGGTGGATACGGATTCCGCATCCGGCTTGCACCCATCCCAGTGCTGACGTAATATCCTCAATGGCAGACGGATCGTGCGTTAGAGTCCCCTTGCCATCAGGCTAACTGTGGGCAGTTTTCGCAGTTTTTCTTTCCATGTAACTCAAATGCGTTCCATCAAGAAGTCCTCCAAGTGGGAAAATTTCTCCCAGAACCAGATCCAAGAGTTCCCTTGTCTTCTGGATTGGATACAAAATTACAATTTTACGGAGTTGAACATTAGTAGTAGTAAGCCCGAAATTGGGTCGGCTGTTCAACCGCGGTTATAAAATGAAATATATCTTTTCGGTATTTTTCTTCTCTATATTAATAGCGCACCATTCAAACTTTTCAAAAAAGGTTTTTTTTTTTTTTCAATGATAAGAAAATAATAATTCACTTGAAATTGTAAGCTGGTGTTTTGTTAAATTTTAACCATCAATTAAAAACTCTTTCAAATAAGTAGCAGGCCTCGTATATATTTATTTAAATTATTTATACATTAGTGGTAGTTTAAAATCGTATAGGTAAAAATAAAATGTGATCACATGAATTTTAAAACTAAATTTAAAAATAAAATCGTTCGATAGAGTTTGCAGATATGTAATAGGCCCTTTTTATAGCTCCCTACTGTGATTACAATAGTTTCAGGAGCATTTAATCATGAAATTTGTTCCAGGCGTCCCATGCAGCATCCATTTTGATAGATAGAAGAAAAACACGCTTTTCAGTTATTATTTTTGTATATATATCGAGACTTTGAGCCTTTGTAAGCGATTTCGATCAAAAATAACTCTGATCTATTTTTTATCAAAGAATTTTTCTTTTATTTTAATTTTTTCCACCTCATGTTTTTATTATTTATTTTTACTCCCTCCAAATAGAAAAGTTTGCACTCCACTGCTTCAGTTTAAATTGTTAAAAAAAAAACATTAACAAAATCTCATTTCTTCTGATCTTTGAATTCAAATTAATTATGAAACAAACTATTGTGGTCGCAAAATTTATGAAACAGAAAGATAAAGACAATAGATATACAAGTAAGGAATAATTTCAGAGTTAAAAACATAAAAACAATCTTGAAATAAGTAGAAATGTGTGAGAAAAGTTTCATTTTTATCGGGTATAATTATTAAGCACATTTTTTTTTCTTTTTCAGAATATCTACGAAAAAGATGTACATCAACGCAACAGAATGAATCGGCCAGATGTTGATGAGCAACTTGAGAGACTGAACAAAAAATCTGAAATGGATAGTGAAGATGTATGAAATTCCTTTCTCTCATCCCATCATTGAAATTCCTTCTTCTTATTCCATCACAAGATGGCTCTTTTTCATCTACGATGTGTTTATTCTTAAATATTCATCTTCAACATTCCAAGATTAGTTTTTAAATTTGTCATTCTAGTTCCACTGAACTTTATTGCAACTGTATTATATTTCTTAAATAATTAAAATATTTGTGAAAGTTTGCTTTTTAAATGATGGCAGTGTGTTTGCATTAAATAATTTTATCACACAATGGGATACTTGCAAGTGACGTAGTGTGGGTATCTCTCCCCTGATTGGTTGCTGAAACGTGGCAGTTGTTTACGTTTTGGCAACTATTCTTTCCATTCTATTTCGAGTCAGCCAAGCCAGTCAACTATCAGTCTTAAGTGATACATTCTAAATTTTTCCACAAGGATTCTTTCACTATATATTTACATAAAGACAGACATAAAGCCGCGTAGAACATTAACTAAGCATCGAAGTTACCAGATAAACAAAACAAAAATATATCACAGTTACAATTAAATACCTAAACAAATACTAAATCTAAGTTAAGTAAAAGATTTAGACGAAAAAGAATTATATTTCAGCTAGTTCGATGTGCGATACGGCTCTGTATTTCATTAAGTTATTGTTAGTTCTAACTTATGTAGAGAAACTTAGCTAAACTTTAATACGCCGTTTTTCAGATAAAGATTAGCTGACTCTGACGTCATAAGTCACATGTGAGGGTATAGGAGGTCTTCTTTTTCTGGAAGTGCAAGTAACCAATTATTTAGTTAAGAACTTTTAACTTCTCATAATAGAAAAAAGAGGTGTCGAAGATGGATGCATTTAAAGACACCTTATTGCTGTCTTGTTCGGTAGCACTGCTAAAAGTGGTTTCGTGGAAGGAGTGGGAAAACCCCTCACCGAAACCATTCGCAACAGTTTAATCTTTGGCAATTGGTCAAAAACGAGATTTGATTCATGAAAGGCTATTTATTCTATGGTTATAAGAAATTTAATTTTAAAAAAATACTGATGCAAAAGTTTTCCTTTTCACTCTAGTAGTATTAAAATCAAAGCAGTAAACGTTTGAAGTGTTTATTGCCTCAATCTTGAAACACTAAATTGAAAGCAGTACACTGAAACACTTTAGGAATCATAAAAATTTATTATTTTCATTTAGAATTTATCTTTGCACAAATGTGTTTTATAATTGTGAGCAATAATGTTTTGATTCACTGAAATAGTTCCACAGAAATGACGAAACGCACAAGAAACGAAACTGTTGAGACTATATTTTCCTGATTACTGTCTCCCCTATTTTATGGGTCGAAAATTCGAATCTGACGAAAAAAAGTATGTTCATTCAAAACTTCTATTTAATAACTTAAAATATCATCGCTACAAAATACACAGAATATCTAAGGTCAACCCTTCTGGAATATTTTTTGTAACTTATGACCAATAAATAAGGCTACCCTTATAGTACATATCTTCCAAAAGATATAGTATTACTTTCCTGAACTTCTCACAATTGCCAAGTCCCAAATCTGTCAGTACTAAGGATCTGTCAGAACTAAGGATTCCCAAATATGATCCCGAGTTTTAACATCGATTATTTTTCTCTCAGCGGCGCTCATTCCAGAGTATATTTTAACATACAAAGTAGGTGGCACTTGCGCCACCCGGTGTAAAGATAATGCAATTAGTAATGTCTAATTGGTAATGCAAATTAGTAACCCCCCAGTCAGAGTAAACACAGCGAGGGTCATAAAAACCTACATTTTATCATTTATTTTTAGAAGGATTAATCTTGAAGATTTCTTTTTGCTTTTCACCTTTTTTCACTTGATATTTTGCCTTCATTCATATTTTGCCCTATTTCACTTGATATTGTTATATCGCTCTCAACATTCAACTTTTAAGTTTAAAATCTCAACATCCATACATTCTTAGTTATTTGGATTTTTTTTCCGCACTCAAGTCATCATTTCTACATATCCTTTCCTTATTTCATTGCGACGCTTTCTACTTTTATTTATAACTATGGAGGTTTAACTATTACTCGTTATCGATGAACTGCTGAAATTGCTATGGCATTTCAACTTCCTCTCTTGTTTTCTCTTTGTCTTGTTTATTATCCTAGCTTTTACATTTTACACACTTTTTTTATAATTAAATGTAATTTATTAACATTATTGTAATTAATGTACACTTTCACAAAAAAAAAAATTAGATTATTTTAACTATATTAGAGACTACGCAACTGCTCGCTGTCGCTTACCAATCCTCGAAGCTAGAGTATTTCTATTTACCTGTCCAACCAACACTTTAAAAGATTACTGAAAGAATAACAAACAAAAGAATTAGATATTGGAGTGGGTTCATATGCAAATGAAACTTTGCTACTTAATTACTTTTTTTTAAGTAAGACAAATAATTTTTTTTCTACAAAACATTACGATTCCACTGCTAAACAAAATAACATAGCACAAAAAATCAATTAATAAACAAATTTAACTATGCATGAAATAAAACTCAAAAACTAATGTTCTCTTAGTTATATTAGAGACTAGGCCGACCAGGTGGCCGAGTGGTTAGCATGTCTGACTGCGGAGCGGATGATTGCGGGTTCGAATCCCGCTCAGAGCATAGATGTTTCTTTCTCTCTCTGTGTTTTATGTCCTTTCTTCTGTGTGAATGTAACCCGCCCCATGAACGGGTTTGTGGTTGTATGACGTGGGCGAAGCTACTCCACCGCCGTGGCTTACCCATAGGTGCTCACTGGGTAACGATAAGAGAGTAGCAATTCTGGCATTTCTGAGGCCAATGGGAAATAGACCCAATTGCCCGCCATTAACCAAAATAATAATAATAATATTAGAGACTACAACCCTTACTCACTATCGTTCACCAACTCTATTCTCTGACTCAGGATTCAAAGCTTATTTCACCTGAGGATCATCGGGTGATCTAAGTTTTGCTCTTTTATTTCGTTCGCATTAATATTAAAATAATTTGAATGTGTTAAAAAAGTTAAATTTCATTTGCATATTATATGCTTAAAAACCAAAAAATGGAGAGGAAAAAAAAACATTCAAGTGAGAGAAGTGTTATTTCGATTCCTTCCACATTTTTTTTATTCTTATTCTTTTTTTCTAGGCATCCAAAAAATCACTCCAATAACTTACTACAGCTGCTAAATTCATCCCGATAAAAACATTTAAAACTGATCATATTCATAATAAATGAAGATCCAAATCGAAAAATTTCAGGAGTGAAATTTAATTTAATTTTCATCCAAATTAAATACGTTTACATGAAGAAGAAAAATTTTTGAAGGCAATAAAATAAAGTAACATATATTTGCTTAAAAATTCAAACCATTAAGCTGAAAACTGATAATAAATTGATCCCCAACACGCATCTCCTTAAAGAGAGAGGGTGAGAAAGAAAATCACTACAATTGAAGAAAACAGGGGGTAATTTTGAGAATCTCCTATATGCCAATTTATATAATTATTATAATTACTCTCATTAAAATAATTCAGCATTTTTTCTAAATGAAATCAGTACATCGGGCTATGTTTCTATCTAAAATATGATTGAAAATACGAATTTTTTGTTAAACTTCCAGGTTTACATAAAAAACAAAACCTGAAGAGTGAAGAGATCTGCTTGTGAGGCATCCTTTGGCTCGTCTGATTTAAGGGCTTTAGGACATCTTCACATGCATATACATCCGCTGGACGTCGAGCGGCTTATAAAGGACCTCCTCTGGAAAAGTCACAGAACACTAAAGAGGACAACTTTAGGACATAAAAAAAAATCAGTATGCTGTATGAGTAATTTAGAAACAAAAGAAAATTAAACAGTGAACATAGAAAAACAAGTCACAATAATACGCCAGTATAGTAGTTCCTTTTTCGTAGTAAGAGTGTAGAATTTCAACTAATTATAACTACGAGGACAGATCTTATTTCAATCGAAGTACTCTGTCGTATTCCACTCTCCCAAATGTTATTTTATAATAGGTGTTGAACAACTGATATTTTTTTCAGTTTACGGCTAACAGTATCAAATTTCAAAGCCTTGTAATTTTGAACTCAACACAGAAGAGAAGAATATTGCTGGATTAGGTATTAGGATAAAATAGTCCACGTGAGTACCTTTTTTTTTTTTGTAGAAATAGCAAGCATTTGCGTTATAGAGCATTCTCATTGCAGGCGATCGCAGGTCGATGCGATTCATCCATGTACGAGGTAGATCGCCCAACCAGTAGTTTCTAACCATTCACACGAACGTCAAGGGCAATCATATTCAGTCTGAAGGCTCCCTTACGTGGAAAGGAAAACCTCCCACCGTTAGACTGACCATTGGAAATTCTAACCCATGATCCATCTACCACTGAGGATATTTATATAAATAATTTTAAATATAAAGACTGAATACAATCTAAATTTCAATAATTCCACTTTTAATATAAAAAATGGTCAATATTAGCTAAACAGTTAAAATTCCTAGTCATTACAAATTTAGAAATTGATATTTTTCTTTATTTGATTAAGAAATTGAATTTAGAATTTTTAATAGGATTAAGAATAGAATTTTTTTTTTTTTTTTAAATTTAGTTAAGCTTTACTTCTAAATTGTAACGAAAAGAAAAATAGAATAATTTTTTTCCTTCATTTTATTAAATTAAAAATCAGACGCAACAGTTTTTTGTGCGAAGTTAAAATGTATCATAGATAATGAATTATAAACGCACAAAAATATTAAATTAAAAAACAATTTATATTTTTTCCTACCTAAATTTAAATTAAATGCTTATATTAAAATATATAATTTAGTAAATTTGAAGTAAAAATACTATATAATTGTAAAATAACGTTTAGTTCATATTGCTTTAAAAAATAAAGTGTGCGAAATATATGCTTCCGCGTCACTGCAGGGGATCGAACCCCCCTCTAGGTTTGTAGACTCGAAGTTAATTGACTTCAAAAATTTTTTAAAATGTCAGAAAAACTAAATCTTTACAGTGTGTTTTAAAAAAAGGCTTACAGTTGCTAGAATACATCATACATTTTAGAATAGGGAATTCGAATATTATTTGCTTAATATTTAAATGAGGAAATTAATTTGTGCGAGTCTTTCATGTTAAGAATAGAGAAGTTCCGCGAAAGCTAGGACCTTACCATACTAGCGCCAAAACTGAGGTTTAGTCGTCACTTCCGGAACTATTTCAAGTGGCTTAAGGCTTACTTCTGATTATCTCCGAAAGTGATAAGTTTGTAAAGCTACAAGCTAATTTTATTCAAGTGCATAAGTTGCTGTCAGTTACAATCAATCAATCAATACTCATTGTTTGTTTACTTTTTCCGAAGTTCACCTTGTTATGCAACCATGCCAATCAGATTAGTGGGCAAAAAAAGTCATTTTACCGGAAAATTATTATTTGAAATCCTTAGTAATTTAAAAAATTATGGTGTCGGTCGTGTGGTCTGCTTAAACAGTTATAAAAAATTTCCTGAAATTTGTTATTATGTTGTTCGTAAAGTGATTCCCATGCGTGAACCAATTGGTCCTGGCCCTGATGTAACTATGACTTTTAATGGATTTTTATAACTTTTTAAAGTACTTTTAAATTTTGCCGGTGAATTTTAACGGTAATTATAAAATCTAAAAATTTAAGAAAATGAAAAGGAAACTGTTGATACTTTTGTGGCCGGTGATTTAACATGAACGTGTTTTTCGTCTGTGCCCGCGAAATGAAAAAGTACTTTTTTTTACAGTGCAATTTTAAGTTCAAATAAAATAGTATTTTTTAAAATAGTAGTTTTTAAAAGATAGTATTTTATAATAGTAGTTTTTAAAAGAAACAACTTTACTTTTTTTTTTTTTGTCCATAAATTGTTATTCACGAAGAAATGACATAAAGTGTAACATGAAATTTTGATACTTATCAAAGCTTCTCAATGGATTTTAAATTGCTCTATTTCAATGTGTTTTTCATTTTGGGGTGAGACTAATTAAATGATTTCTTAGCTTCCCCCTTTTAAAAGCCAAATATTCGGCTCGTTTTAGTCAATTAACAAAGTTTTCAGCCAACTATTGAAAACAAGGAAAAATTTCTGCATCAGAATCAAAGGAATCAAGTCTTGGTGACAAAAGGAAACCAACTAGAAGGGTATAACTTGTAGAGTATATCCCACATGCCAACCTCCCTCTCTCTCTCTCTCTCTCTCTCTCTCTCTCTCTCTCTCTCTCTCTCTCTCTCTCTCNATATATACATATATATATATTAAAATTTTCAAGTTTAAAATCCCTTTGGCGATTGTAGGTGGTGTGTAGGTAGGTAGGTGATCACTAACAGAAATACCCCAAAAAAAGAAATTTTTATATTTATAATGATATAAATCGATGTATTTTAATCAACTACAAAAATTTAAATGTTCATTCAATTTTCAATATTTTTTATAGAATAATTATCTATTTATTTAAATTTAATTCTATTAATTTCAAACATAAATGTAAACTTCATAATAGTTTGATTGTATTTAATGTACAAGATATGAAAAAGACTAGAAGAAATGTTTCGAAAGCAGGCTTTTTCCATAAAGAATACTTGTTTTGGTTCAATTAAAGATAATATCCTTTGGAAAGATTTCAGTATCTACGCCAAAATAATCGCCAGGGTCTAGTAATTTCTATACCTTTAAAAACCGTATATTTTTAATTTTAATAAATTGTTTAAAACTATTTAAAGTTTCTTTACCGTATCCTGGTGTAAAAGTTATTTTTTCAAATCCAAAGATTTTTATAAAAATCCGGAGGTCGACTTATACATCGATAATAAAATTGGTCATTCATTGATTGTAAAATATTGGTGCATTAAAAGCTATGAGATAGATATGTATAAATCTGTATTTATTTAGCCTTATCAAAACTATTTTTAATATGTTTTCTAAAATTAATTTTTCATTTACTCTAGCCATATTTTCCTTGTATATAATTTTTTTTTTCGGAAAAAAAATGAAATTAAAAGTTAAGAGAATTTATTCAAGAGTGATTCAAAATCTATAACACCATGAAAACTGACACAATGTTATAATACAATGTGGACATACCATAAATCTACAATCTTAAAAATTCCACAGCATCATTTGTGTTGAATTCATTAACAATGTCATTATACGGATCCCACTCTACAATGTATTCAACTTAATCCACATTTATTCAGTCCCACAAAAAATTGTCTTTTCCCCCATCTAAATTTGAAATGCCATGGTTTTCAAAAGATTTTACTATAACACCCTGAGGCAGAATTGCAGTGACATTGTTGCAGAACATTACAGAGTTCTTGCAGAAGGATTTTTCTTTTGGGAAGAAAAAATTTAATTTGAATTGCGCATCTAAATAATAATTTTTTTAGCTTTCAATTTATGTCGATAGTATCATAAATACAGGTAGTGTTTTGATTGTATTTTAGGGAGTTATTGATTTTCACATGGTTTTTAATTATCCAAATATATTTCAGAGGATATGGGAAATTCAAGTCGTACATTTGAGTATTTACTTTTTAAGGCAATGCTTCAATCAATTTTTATGGCAATTATTGCTTTTGATTTCCGTGTAGTTCTTAAAATCCAATATTATTTATTACAACAATGAAATCTTGAAATGAAACACGCATTTGAGTAACCCCTTTACTCGCATGATTTTGACGTTGATCTGTTTTTCAGTAATTGCTATGATAAATTTCATGATTTTTAATTATTTTTTTTAATGTGATGACGATTTACAAAGTGTGATAAAGGAAATAATTAGTGTGTTTTTCTCCCCGGCAAAATGTGAGAATATCGCCCATAATATTGGAATTAAAAAAAAATACTACATATTCAATAAAAGTAATTTTATGTTGTTTTTTTCTTTCTTTTTTTGTAAACACAGCTGTTTTGCTACTTTAAATTAGTAACATACATCTTTGTTATTATTGGAAGTACCTTGCTGAAAGAAGCATCTTTATTTGAGGAAAATTGTATCACATCCAAAAAGAGTTAATGTGAAATATTTTTAACTTGAGAAAATTTTGTGAACTTAATAATTTTTCATGGCTGCTATTTTTAAAATGTCTGTAAACTGGTTTTATATTCTAAACAATGCAAAAGTCATTGAGAATTATTAAATAATAGTGCCATTATAGAGACTGCTTCTTTTCAACTAAGCCTTTACTTTCATGTTCCTCTAGACCACAGAATTCTTTTATTTCTACTTAAGTTGTAAGAAATTAAGTAATGCATTCCTACAACAGCCCATTATGGGCCTAAGGGTAATGGAGGTTGAGGCTCCACAATAATGTGACAAATGGCATGATGTTGTCAACTGTCCATAGTTACGTTCCGGAGAAGCTTGTACCCATCAATCAACAGGCTTCTAGCAGTCATTGAGAATCAAGCCCCAGTTATTTCACAATGACAGATCAGTGCCTTAACCACTGAGCCATTACTTCTCAAGTTATTATAATAAATAATGCTTTATTTCTTTTGATATCATAATATGTTGGAAAGTGAAAAAACTTTTCATTTTTTAGGAATTGGTATTTGGAAAAGTTTGGGTTGAAGAAATATTTCGTGGTAAGAATCTGCTTATGATTTTTTGTTAATTCAATTTTTTTGTCAAAGAAAAAAATTATTTTAATATAAATTAAGCATTTCTAACAAACAAACCTCGTCTTTTAAAACTAACTAAATTTTATGATATGAAATTAAATGTAAACTGAAAAAGAAGCACAATTGTTTATTTATTTAATATCAATTGTCATTTACTATCATTCATAATTGGTAAATTTGTTTTTACACATAATATATCAGACGGATCATTTCTATTGATGCTAAATTTTATTCATTAGTCAGGTTTTCATAATGCCAACATAAATGGCATTTCCCCACCAAGAGAATGACGTTGTTTAAAATTAAATTCGTGTATCTTTAAAAACATTTTGAAGTCAGCGGAGGTAACATATAAGAATGACCATTCTCCATTAACAACCATTTTACTGTGGAGCAGAGAGTGGTCGGTCCCGAGAGGTTTCACTGTAGTAAAATTATGCACTATAGCATTGTTTTAAACACCATACTATGTGGAAATATGTAAAATGTAATATCCATACAAATATGTAAATATTCATACAAATATGTAATTATGCTATTTTGTAACAGTAAAAAACTTTTTATAATATTTCCAAGCAAGACACAGTTTCTCCATTAAATAACTGGTTTATTTGAGTTTTGAGATACTGGTTTACTGTGCAGGAATGCATCCATATATTCAATTGAAAAGTTAAATCTGATTTAAAATGTAAAAGATGTTTCTTAAAATTAAATTGTTTCCGTATATTATCGAGACTATATTGCCCAGGAGCAAAAATTACATTTAAATATTACATTGCATATTACATTTATTACATCTACATTACAAATATTACAGCAAAAGTTACATTTAAATCTCTTATTTAACTGTATTTTTTAAAAATTCTGTTTCACTGTTTTATTTTTTTATTTATTCTGTTTGTTGTAACTTTTGAAACCAAGAATTTTTCCCAGCTCTCAGCAATAGAGCCATATATTTATTGTAGCCATATATTTATTGAGGAAGGGGGAAGCGAGTAAGCTATGATTTGGTAGCAGATTTCACCAAGTAAATGTTAACACTCGCTTGAAATAAGGGCATTTTTTTAGTATATATCAGGGGTCTGTCCAGATATTTTGTGAAAGGTCCGGTTTCTGTGAAATTGTGAAAAAATTACTCACATTCTTTCAACCAGGGTCCTGCTTTAACGAATTTGTGCAAATAGGGTCCGGTTATTGCAAAAAACTTCTTTAGTGAGTTTTTAAATTGTAAATAGATGCTAGATTATGCTCAGCACTGTAAAATTATAATAAAAAAAATTGAATTTTCAAAAATAAACAGCAATTGCTGCTTATAAATTAGAGATGCAACATACAAATGTTTGGTATTTATCCTATACTGCTGAACGCAGAATATTAATTTTGAACGAATAATGGAAGAATCGTCTGCCGAAGACAAAACTTAATTCATTTACATCCATCTTTCTTGTTTTCTGCCCGGGGGAGGGTTTATTCAATTAACAAAACAATGATGAAGATAAACAATTTTGTGAAGGATCCGTTTTTAAGTTAAAATATTTTGTGAAGGGTCCGTTTTTATAAAAATATATTTTGTGAAGGGTCCGTTAACGGACCCCAATTTCTTCTAAACAGACCTCTGTATATATATATATAAAATTCTGACAAAAGTAAATTATCTATTTCTTTTAATTGTAAATTTAAATACACAAATATTAAGTGAAAAATTGTAATTTTCGAAGGTGCTGTGACCCTTTATTTGTAAGATGTGAGGGGGCTACAGCCCCCTTTTCCCCCTGGTTCCGTAATCCCTGTTTACAATTGAGTAATTGTAGAGTAGAGTGTAGAGGAAAGCAATTTTGTAGTTGTACATGCACTTGTACTGTCTCCAAATCTTCAGAAAGGAGGGGCCTCAAATTCTCGCTTATTGCCAATTAGTGTATCTCTAGTGTAAGGTTAACAACCAGACCAATCCAAATGTAATTTGACTGTTTTTTCATTTGAAAAAAAAACATTCTTAGATATCTCTTCTTAATATTTTCAGGCAAGAAAAAAGAAGAACTGCAGTTGATAACTGTTCACACTTGTATGCCCGACTGGTACTTAATACCCAAAGAAGAAGAAGGGAAGTATTTAAATTGTGAATTAAAAGAAGTTGTTAAGACATTACCCAAGTATGATTCAGTACCTCCTGTCATTGGAGAAATAATGAAAAGAAAGGATCCTTCACTTAAAGAACCAAAGATGGAAAGAGTTTATCCGTATNCAAGTCACATAATTTAGGTTTTTGCCAATTTGCTTGGCAAAAACCTGTTTTTGCCAGGACGGTTTTTACCGGTATCTACCATGGTTTTTTCCATCTGCAGCAAAATCTTGCCAACCCTGAACCAGACCAATCCAAATGTAATTTGACTGTTTTTTCATTTAAAAAAAAACATTCTTAGATATCTTTTCTTAATATTTTCAGGCAAGAAAAAAGAAGAACTGCAGTTGATAACTGTTCACACTTGTATGCCTGACTGGTACTTGATACCCAAAGAAGAAGAAGGGAAGTATTTAAATTGTGAATTAAAAGAAGTTGTTAAGACATTACCCAAGTATGATTCAGTACCTCCTGTCATTGGAGAAATAATGAAAAGAAAGGATCCTTCACTTAAAGAACCAAAGATGGAAAGAGTTTATCCATATCTCTCCCCCCATCTTTCATACCGAACAGCAGAAGAAGGCATGAAACCTGATTATAAACTCAAAGTTCAAATACCTGATGAATTCAAAGTTGGAGTAAATTCAAATTTCTTTGTTTTTTGTCATTATTTAACATTTATATCACCATACAGAGATGTCTAAGCTGGCATCACTTTATTTTTCTGTTCACTCGTAAAACATTAATGAGTTTACAGAAAGCAATCAATAAGAATGCGCTTCTATTAGGATGTAAACATAAACCATCGAATAGAAATGGTGCCAATGACAATTGATTTATTCGACTCAGTGTTATAGTTCAGCTTCTGGCTTGGACATCTCTGTATCATAAAATTGTAGTTGTCAACTCACAGTTTCATACTTTAATGAACAAAGAAAATCTAGATACCTTTATATTATAAACAAAAATTTAAATAAAAATAATAAAAATTACAATGCATACCTATAAATTATGTATCTGTTATTTAACTGTATTTTACCAGGAACAATTATATACAACATCCCTTATTAATATTATTTTCTGTTATTATTACACTTTTTGATTATTATTCAAAATTATAGACTTAAAACTAAAAAGTCGTTCTTTCTTTGCTATATTAAAGTAGCTGCACAATGTTATCTTATTAAGCAACATGCTAAAGATATTTCCCTACAATTTTATAGTAATAAAATTGTGAATAAATGTCTGCCTTTATCACAAATTTTATGTAAAACTATATTCATTTAATCTATGCAGTTAAAATAATTCGTATGAAATAAATATTGAACACTTTTAAGCAATATAAAAAACTAACTTATGGCTCTAATACTGAATTAGCTCTGGTGTAAACTTTTAAAGAAGTTTTCATGATAACACAAAAATGAATAGGAATTTAAAAAAAAAAATTTTTTTTAATGAAGTTGCAATGGTAACCAAGTAAAATTTAAAGTTTATCAATAGAATTAAAAGCTAAATCTATTGAACCAATTCTTTGATAATATAATGAAAATTTGCTCTCTTTTAAGTGAATAACTTTCATATTTAATCTAACAATTCAATAATCATCATGAAACAGTAATTGTGGAGGCTTGCAAAAAAGCAAGTTGTGGCAAAACTCGTAATTAATATTTAAATTGCACTACAATGTATGCAAAAAAATGAGGGAATGACGGTATAAATATGTGTAAAGATACTTTTTATCAATATTTAAATATAATTTCGATTATACTTGTTATTATTTTAATGCTTTTCTCTCATTAAAATTGACCCCTTTATTCTGCTGTAGTGTGTGCACTTTTATTCCTCAGTACTTGAGTATGTATTGGTTTTCTTGTTGTGCAAATGAATTATTTTAGTCAAACATTTGTTTAAATATTCTTTTTGAACACTAATCTCACTTATCATTTATAAATATCAGGCGAATAAAGTTTTGTATCCTTTTCTTTTGCCCCTGATTTTTACTCATAATTTTAGTTTATCTTTTCTGTAAAGTAGAAGGTCTCAATCTTTTGGAGGTTGGTTGCAGGGAAAAATATTTAAATTTTCAAGGGCTGCGAAAAATTCAGTTTTAATCACAATTAATCTAGGATTCCTTAGTTTAATTTGAGTTGAAAGCTATCTTAGATTTATAAGTACAATATCAATTTGTCCTAATGTAACATAAATTACAGCATATTATATATAGTTACAAGTTATACATACCTATAATATTTTTGAATTGAAAAAAAAAATGGCAGAATTGCATTGTTGTCTTCTCTCAAATAATAAAATAAAAATTTTTCTCTAGTAAATTAAATGATATCAAGATTTTATCTCTTTTTGTGTAAAAATAATTTTATTGTTTTTATAATTTGCACACATCTTCAATTTTTTACTTAAACAGCATATGTTTTGATTTTGTAAAATAGTTTCAGTAGAAACACAGAAAACTGAACTTTTAAAAGGCAAAAAATTAAAAATAATAAGATAAAATAATAAAAATTTGTCTTTAGTAAATTAAATGATATCAAGATTTTAACTCTCTTTGTGTAAAAATAATTTTTTTATTAACTTACATATATCTTCAATTTTTGATTTAAACAGCATATGTTTTGATTATGTAAAAAGTCAGTAAAAATAAAAATAACTGAACTTTTAAGCGACAAAAAATTCCAAACTTTTGACTATCAAATGTGTATATGTTTATATTTTAAACGTTATAACTTTTTTTTTCTATTATTAAGATTAATTTGAAGAACAATTATATATTGATCTTATTCAAGTTATGCAATTTTTTTTCATATTACTTATGGCTTGAAGGTAGATTTTGTACATTGAGCATTTTAGGACGACATATGATCCCATGGCTGTAGGTTGTAGACTACTACTTTCGAAGAAGAATCTTATTTATTGAGCAATTTTAAGTTTTGTGAAATTATATATTTTAGTTTTATGCATATATTGTGTTGTTAATCATTATAATTATCATTTAGGTAAAAGACCCAACTCACTTTCTGAAACTGAATGACAAATTTAGCAAATCTGATTCTTCTAAACCATCATCTCAAAACCATAATGTACAGAGAGACTTTCATTCATTAGTGTCACCAAATAGTGCAATAAGTACTTCAAGAATCCTATTAAATTATAATATGCTACAGGTAAAGCTATAATGTTTATACTTTTCTCATTAGTTTTTATTTTATTTTTAAATTGACTCTTAAATGCTCAGTAGTATTCCAATTTTTGTCTAAATCTTTCACTACTATAGCTGATTTTAGTGAGAGAAAGAAATTTGGTCATAATTTGTTTGGCATTTTTATATTTTAAAAGATTAAATAAATAAAGCTCTTCAATTCAGCATTTGAAATTTTATACTTTACTCTTTGTTCATCTGAATTCATTTTTTCAAAAAAATTTAAATTGCCTATATGGTTAAAAGCAAATTTACCATGAAGGATTTTTCCCACAATCTAGTATCTCTAAGAATGATCTTCTTGTCTTAAAGGAAAGTGGCTTACAGGAAGTGTAAATACTTTACCTTTTTCTAAATGACTATTTGAAATTTCACATCTTATCATAAAAACTCATACTCAGCTGAAAGTTGTTTACACTCCTGTGAAATATAATAATATTTTTGTTTTAATTATGTCCTTCAGTTGCCTTTTTGAGCTTGAAGTCTTACATTCCGATACAAGTAAAAAGTATCTCTGAAAGTGGGTAGCATCTTAAAATAAGAACTATGAGCATCTTTGAGGAAAAATAATAAATTTGAATGATGCTTCATAAGTTTTTTTTACTGAAAAACTTTAATCTTTTTAAATGTTGAAGTTTTTATTTTAATACTATGAAAACATTTTAAAAAGTCACATTTAGTAGTAGTATTTACATTTTAATAAATTAATCTAAGTGTGAGGATAAACAATCTACCCACTTAGTATGATTTAAAAGTCTTATATGGAAAATATAAACAATTCTGTAATCCTTCAATTTAAGGGTCCTAAATCCTTGAACTGAAATCTTTGAATTTTAAGGGCTCATAAAATCCTTAACTTCGTATGTTAGCCCATTGGGTCAGCATCATAGGATCACACATTGGACCAGCTGGTCCATTCTGTCTGCTTTTTCTTTTTTCACTTGACTCCTCCATAGGTCTGCCTCTTTTTTGCACCAATATTAAAGCTAATAATAAAATTTTTGTGGAAGGCATTCTCAACATATGACCTATCCTTTTCTTTCTTTTTATATAAAGGTAGATTTGTTTTTATTTAATGTTACTGAAGACGTCTTAATTAAATATGGTTTGAGACCAGAGTATTTTTAGAATATTTCTTTAATTTCTGTTTTGTTTTGCCAGCTGTGTTTTTTTATTATTATTTTGTAAGTTTCCATTTTTCCGACCCATATAATATAATTGTGCACTCCTTTTCACTGAATTAAAAATATTAATTTTAGTCTTAAGCATTAAGTTATTTGATCACCAAACCTTTATTAACTTTTTGATATGTTATTGTGCCTATGAAATTCTTGTTCCTATTTCTGCATCTGTTCCTCCTATTCTTTCAACTATTGCAGCAACGTGTGTTAATTTTTCTACATCTTCTATTTTTCCAATTTTAATTTTTATTCCATGCTCTGTTTTGCCATTTATTATTATAGTTTTTTTTTTTTAAAAATTTCTTTTCAATCTAATGTTCTTGCATATTTTTCGAAAATAGTTGTCTTCAATTGCAGATATTCAAATTTACTGGCAAATAAAACAATTTCATCAGCAAAATCGAAGTTTTTAAATACTATTGTGAAATTCCATCTTATTTTTCTTTTTGCACCTTGGATTGTATTTCTCTTTATCCAATAAATTATAATGATGAACACTGACATCTTGTTTAACCCTAGTCTCTTTATTAAAGTGCTCTGCCAAGCTTCCGTTTACTTCAACACAACATTTTAAATCCCTCTAAACTTTTTAATGATATTTATAAATTTTTTGAAAAATGCCATTTAACTCTAAAATTCTCAATATCACCTCTTTATTAATAGTGTCGAAAGCTTTTTGAAGTCAATAAAATGCATGTACATTGTATTAAATTTGGGATTTAGTTCAATAATCTCCCTTGAAGTAAATATTTGCTTAATGTTCCTGCACCACAAACCAATTTGCTTCTTGCATAATGCCTTTTCAACCTGTTGATTAAAATTTTTCAAAACACTCTGGCCGGAATTGACATATTACTGATTTGCTAATGGAAAGATCTTGCTTTTTGGTAATTTTTATGATGATTGATTCTCTTCACTTGTTTAGGACTTGTTTCTATATTAAATTAAAAAAGGGTTGTAGTCTTGTAACTGTTTCATCAATATTAACTTTTAGTATCTCTGAAATTTGATCACTATCAAAAGATTTTACAGATTTTAATACCGCCAAGACATTCTTGATTTTGATCAATGAAATTTTACTTTTGTCATTAGAAATACTAGCTGTTGTTAATTAATGTATTTCTAGATCTTTGTGTTGTACATTTAGCATTTCTTTAGAATGCTCTATTTTTTTTCCAACTATTCGTTTATTACTTAAGATTTAACGTTGTTTATCTTTTTCATTTTCAAACACTACTTGAAATTTAACACCTTGTCATAAAACCTTACACTAAACCAAATGTAAAAAGACAAGTGATTTATACTTCTTGTAGAAAATAATATTTTAAAAAAAATCTTTAGAGCTAAAGACTTTTAAAATGGAGATATTTATTGAAAACCTTAAATAACCATCATTAGTCTTATTAATATTTTCATGGACTTAGATTTTGAAAATTGGTTTTAAACTTACTTTATTGAAAATTGATTAAGTAGAGCTTTATTGAAAAGAAAAGAAAACAGTGCAAATTATAATTTTCTGTTGGTTAAGGTCAAATTATGCCATATTGCATTATGTCATATAAGGTCACAGTGAATAATAGCACTAGAGTTTACTAATAAATGAATAATAGCTATGTAGCATCAAGGCATATCTATTTTTCAGTAATTTCTAATCATGTTGGAATATTTAAAAATATGAAAAGATGTTTCATACAATTATTGATATTAATTTGATGTTTTTGCTTTGCATATTCAAAAACAAAATATTTTCTATGTATTTTACTTTTTTAAGATTTCAAGAATGGCAACAAGTGTTTCTTTAATGAATGGTTCAAGAGTTCAAAAAATAAAGAGAAAATTACGAGAAATGATGGGTGTAAAAACAGTATGTAATTTTATTTTGTATCATGACCTACAGAAGCTAAATTGAATTCTGAAAATTTATGTTTAAAGCTGTATTTTTTAAAACATTTATTAACTTTTTTAACTTTTAACTTAAAATTTTTGACTAATAATTTATTTTTTATAACTCTATTATATGTATGTTTTGAAATCTTCATTAGTTTTTCAGACATCTTAAGTTTTTATCCAATCTTTTAATCATTATAAGATTTTACATAGCTTAAAATCCAACACTTTTCACCCAACTGGATAATTGATAGCTTGAACTTGACTAGAATAAACTTAATAATTTAATCATTCAGACTTCTCCAGAAAATAAAACATATGAATTGATGCATTTATACATATTGTCAAAGTTTAATTTTTTTTATTTAAACTTCTTCAAATTTAATTGCTGCATGATTTTATCCATAGCAAAAAACCTACTCATTTAAATTCAAATTATGCATAGTTTTTAAATTGTATAAATTATTTAAAAGATATTTAAAACAAGGTTTTTTGTCAAAAAAATTCTTAAATTTTCATTATAGTTTAAAGAAATTTTTTTTTTTAATTAATGGTATTTTGTATGGCTTTGCTATATTTTGTCTTTGTATATTTTAGAAAATTAACATTGCTGCCTGCTTAGTGTATGAAAAATGTGCTGATACAATTGATTTGCATGCTTTCATGAGATGTAAGTCACAACTTTTGTTTGTTCTCATTTAGTAACTTGTTTTTGTACATTTCTTTTTGGATATAACAATTTACATTTTATAAATCACTTTCCTTTTTTTATGTTATAAAATATCAAAGAAGGTTTTACCTAAGCAAAAGCACAACATGAATAAAGCACAAGAACCTTTCTTGGTAACAGCCAATCATTTGGTGTTTAGACATTATTGTATTGTAATAGAATTTGTACTTTATTCACATTATTTTTTTAAGTCTACATAGCATACCACAAAGTATACCTTGTCCTTTTTTAAATTTTTACTTAAAATTAAGATTATAATTTTGCTAATTTGCAAGTTTATTTATAAATATTTTATTTATTTATTCATTTCGTCTAATTTTATAGGTAAAATACCTTTCTCTTGTTTTGATTTTGTATTTGTGTATTTATGCAGTGGAATTTTTTAAATTTAAGATATCCAATTCATTTTTATTTTAGATTCCTTTTTAAAATAAGTTTTCTTTATCATGTTTATTAAATTTTATGCCAGGTAATTAATGTGATGTTTCAGTTTTTAACAGATAGAATAGGCAGGCAAGATTTGTGTATTTTTGCTGGGGAATTTTTTAAATTTAAGATATCGAATTCATTTTTATTTTAGATTCCTTTTTAAAATAAGTTTCCTTTATCATGTTTATTAAATTTTTTGCCAGGTAATTAATGTGATGTTTCAGTTTTTAACAGTTAGAATAGGCTGGCAAGATTTGTGTATTTTTGCTGTAGAATTTTTTAAATTTAAGGTATCGAATTCATTTTTATTTTAGACTTCTTATGTTTTGATTTTTTCTTTTTAAATTAAGTTCTCTTTTTTATATTTATTATTAAATTTTATACCAGATAATTAATGTCATGTTTCAGTTTTTAAAGCAAAATCGCATGAATCGGAAATTAATTTCCACACAAAACTTTTAAGCAAGTATCGCATAAATCTAAAACAGCTTCTACACAAATTATTACATAATAAATAAAGCTGTTATTTAAATGATTTAAAGAGTATAAATTGAAATATTGACTAAAAATATATTATTACTTTTCTTTTCTCAATTTACAATATTATTATATTGCTATTTAAGTGAAAAATATGGCCACCTTGTTTAAATAATTATTCAATTGTGAAAAATTAATTGTTGTTATTAAATAATTTTCAATGGCGCATGATTTTAAACATGCTTGGAAAAAATATTCATTTTATTCAGATAAATTGGTAAGTTTTGTGTTAGAATAATTCAAACGTAAAAGGAGAAAATAAAAATAGTTTGCACATAAAAGCTGCTTAGAAGTTATAAAAATAATTACTTTTAATGTTTAAAATTATGACAGAGTATTTATAACAAAATAATAGGTTTGTGCTTAGTATCATTTTATTCTCTTTTTTGCCACTGTAAATAATTCTTGTTTATAATTTGCTGCTTGTGTAAATCCACTTAATTCTTTTAAATTTGTTTCACTGAAATGATGTTAAATATTTAAAATTTTTATGCAAATTTATTTTAGATTTTAAACTTCCTGATACATTTCATTCCTGGTTCCTTTCCATAGAACTTCATGTGTGGTAAGTATGACCTAAAATTTCAAATCAACGTCAACTAAATTATGTAGCATTATGTGGATACAATGTATACATTATATACATTATATAGCAAATAAGATAATAGCAAAGTTTGTTTAAAATGTTTAAAGCAGATGAACAGAAACATGTTGAAAACCGATAGATTTATTAAAAAAATGATATTTTACTGTTTAGCTTCGTATATTATTAATTTTTCGAAACAAAAATCACATTGCATAAATTGTTTTTGCTTGGAATACATATAATTAATTTTCTGTATCTATTATAAGTATTGCACTTTTTTTAAAAAATTGTTTTCTGCTTTCTAAATTGTTGCCCCTTTTTTGGCTGCCCTCTAGTTTTATGATATATTTTCCCTTTTATATTTATTTTTGAAGCATGTGCAACTGTTGAGAATGCATTTTAATAATTATATTTAAGTAATTTAAGCATTCAGTGACAGGAATTTATAATTTAAACAACTTATTTTTTTATGACTCATTTGAAAATCTTATAGTATATGATATGATATATTAAATTTTGTTTTGATTATTTATGCAACTTCTACCATATTTTCAGGATTCTTGCACTTGTAACCATCTCTGAGAAAAGTGGAAGATTGTTTCGCAACAGATTAGTTGAAGAAATGTGGAATGATTGTGAGGAACGTTTAAACCACTTGGGGGTAAATAATAGTTTATCTTCTGTTTATGTTGTTATTCCAATTCTCAATACTTTTCTGTTGGTTGTATTTGTGTAGCTACAATCCTAGATACAAGATGGCTACAATAGTTTGGCTTTATGTGCAATGTCTACTCAGAGATGTTGATATTTGTTTCAAAAATTTAACTCTTTTGCTATTTATTAAAAAGCATGTCGAAAATATTTAAAAAAAATTATAGAATATTTTATAATAAATAATTGGAAATTACATTAAATTTTGAAAGGAAAAAAGGGGCAGACATGTGTTTTTACATTGATAATTTTATGATAGAATAGGAACCAATATTTTTGTTGCTGTTGTTGCACAATATGATAATAATCTATATTAATGTATGAAAAAAAGCCCTTTTAGATGGTGTTTAGAAGCACTCTGTATAAGTTTATAAAAATTAATTTTTGCTGGTCGTTTTATAAGTTCTTTTAGGGAATTTTACAGATGGGCAAATTTAGAATGATAATGTTAAGCCTAACACTTATAAACTCTTTTTCTAACCAATAACTAAGAAAAACTGGTTTTTCCTTAGAAATTAAAATGCAATTTTCTTTCTGTGTTACAAAAATATTATTTATCTTATTTACATTTTCTTCTCTTTGTGTAGCAATTACCTAGCTCTACTAAAAAGGAATATCTAACAAAGCTGAGTGAACAATTTCAGGCTGCTTTAATAGCTTATGATGAGGTAAGAGCGATTCGCAAACTATATTAATTTTTTTACACGTAATGTTAAAGGCTTTTCTTAATTTTACAAAGACTGTTTTTATACTCTGACATTATGATGTCAAAGTAACTTTAAGTTTTCAACTTTAAATGAGAAAATTTAAAACTTTCCATTTTCAGAAGTAAACATCTGATATTTTTAAAATTTATAACTTTAATATTAACTTTTTAACTATTAAATTGAATTTTAAATGTATTAACTAAATGTTTTAACGCATAATTGCTATGCTTTTTTTGTAAGCAATTTTATAGATATTTATTAAAAACTTGAGCATATAAATATAAATTTATGTTGCATGTATGCTTTTAAGTTTATTTTTTCTTTTTTTTTTCTCATTTGTATTTATCTTTTCATAATTTTTTATGTAATTTTATTTCTGATAGATACTAATACGAGAGAATTTTCTTAAATTAATTTTAACCATGAATTTTCTGGTAATTTTGAAATTTTGTAGCTCAATTGTTGAAATGGTGATTTCATTGAATCTTTAAACCAGAGATGTGTAACTGTTTTTAGACAATGGACCACAAAATATATAAAATAGAGTGTTGAGAGCCAACATTAGCACAATGCTGTAATTGTAAAAATACAGAAAATACTGAGATTCTGCTGAAAGTAATTTGAATTTACAAATGTATAATTAATCTTTGACTCACATGCAGATACTAAAAATAATTCATATGAATAATTTTAAACAAATATACTTATTAAATTACAAAGTAAATTATGATAAATATATAGGCATGCAAATATATATATATATATATTTATTTATTTATTTAATCAATATGGTCTCCCCAATTATGAATATTTTTCTATTGTTTATTTACTAAAAATTTTACTTAAAATTGCTATATTGATTCTCATTAATTTCTTTTCTTATATTGATAGGGTATTCTTGCTGATGATAGAACATTAGCTGCTGCATTATGGAGAACTCTATATGCTTTTGACCCAGAAATAGATCCAAGATTACTTGAAGCTCTAGTTTTATATGTTCGAAAACAAGTGAGAAATCTATATACTGTAGTACATTTTCATAATTCTTATTTTAGTTATAATTTGAAAACAAATAGGTTAAAAATAAAACTATTTCTTTATTTATATAAGTTGTTTTTTTTTTAAAAAAATTGCTTTAAGTTGATGACCAATTTCTTCCCCTTATAATAAAATTTCGAAGAGTGCATAGTGCTGGTTTTGAAAATACTCATAAATGAAAATGAATGCAAGAGCATTTCTAAAAAGTAGTAACAATAATGCTACTACAGGCAAATTTTAAAAAGTTTCTGATTTGATATCATTTTTTTTACTGGACATAATCTAAACGTCAAAATTATAATAAATTTAAGACGCTAAGCATTTTTAAAAGTAATACTAATTGAATAATTTAATCTTCAGAGAGAGCTGTAGCTTAGAATTTGGACACAGTTGACTTGTGGGTTCCGAAATTTTAAACATTCTAAAGCTCCAAATTTCGTATTCTGCTTTTAGTGGTCTGGAAATCAGTGACGCTTGTTTTCAATCAGAAAGCTCGCTTAGAAATTTGAATGTTAAAATTAGTTAGATTCTGCATTTGTAATCTAATTGGGAGTTCTAAATTTTTATTAAGGATAACATTGGGATGAATTATACTTATAGAAGTCGGCAAATGATTAAAACTTTAAACTTTGTCAGACATAGTTGTTCCAGTAAAATAGATAGTATGCTTTAGCTGGACAAAAAGTCTTCTAAATTTAATTGATTCACAGACATGAAAAAAAAAAAATTTTAAAAATGGTAAAAAGGCTCTAAAAGATTTGTAAATAATAAAATAAAAAAAATTCAAAATTATTGCTAAGCTTTATTATATATTTTATTCTTAATTTCGTAAGAGTTTTTATTCCCTTCTGAAATATGGTTACAAGACATAAATAACAATGTTCAAAAATTTGTAATCAATGCAACTGCTGCCATTTTATTTTGAATACACAACTTATGATAGATGCACTTATGACAGTTACTTATGATAGATGCACTTATTAAGCATGATTTATGTAAAAATAATTATTGATTTTAAAAATTAACTTTGTCATAACTATTTTTAATTGAATTTTAAAATCTCAGATTATTTTAAACAATAAACTTACTGGGAAAATTATAAGAACTGTTGTGGTTATGTGTTTTGGACATAGTTAATTTATGTATAAAAATAGGCATTTTGTTGTAAAAATATTTGATAAAATTAAAATAAATATTTCATTATGTTAAAAAAATTGTTTTATGGGTAGATAATAAATTTAAAACATTCACTCAAAGTAATTTCTGTTGAAATAATAGTGCTATTTATAGAATTACATTTGAAAACTCATCAAAACACCAGATTCCAAAATATTGTATAGTGCTGTCATTTGGTAAAAATATTATCAAGTAATTGTATTTTCTCTTGTTTTTTTCTTCCACATTTACAACAGAAAACTTTACAAAAATTAATGTAATTACAAATTTACTCTGAAATTCAGTTAATGAAATTAAAAGTTAATGTTATCAGAGCTTAAAGTTGAGATCTATGTTATATTCACACCTTTAGAGAACTGCCTATATATTGTGTATATTATTTTAGGGAAAAACATACTGATCATTTTGCTGTTACCTCTAATATTTATGGTATAGAGCAAGGGTTTACATCAATCAGGGATAAACTCAATTTTTGCACCCCCATGGTGTGGGGTTTAAAATGGGACTTTTTGGAATCACTTTAGGTTTTAAATAATGAAAACACTTAGAACAACTATACTTTGCATTGTTTTTTTCAAACTTTACTTTGAATAAAATTTTGCAGCTTTACTTAGGAATTTTTAAATCACTTCATAAATTTCCATTCAATTCGGTTTAAAATTCAACAATGTATGTTAGTGATATAGTTTCTATTACATTTAGATGTTTTTGATTGTGTTTGTTTTTTATTGAATGATATGCGTTTCTTCTAAAGACATTTTCCATTCAATATATCACTAATTTGTTAAAAATAATTTAAAAAAAAAAACAACTATGTGACTAACGTTTATAAATAACAAACCTAACAACTATATAACAGGTTACAAATAACAAAACTAAACAAAATACATTTTTAATTTAAACAGAAGTTTGAAATTTAATTATCGTGTATTTCAAACAAAAACATGCTTTTAAGCTCTTCCTAAAATATCTAAATAACCTGCTATTTAGGCTTTTCAATATGTAATACATCACTAATTTATTTATTTTCAGATTGAGCATCTGGATACCTTAAATAGTGAAGAAATGATGATGTATGGAAATGTGACTTTCCTGACTTTAACAGACATACTATCTGAGAAACCTGAAACCTAGAAAAGTTAAAGATGATAGTCTAGAAAAATTTTTCATTTGTTATTGGATTGTAGTTTTCTCATTTATAATATTTTGTAAAGTTTTAACAAACTATGCCTGCATTAATCATCTTAATAAACATTTAGTTTAGTTATTTGTGTATTTTTATAAAAGAAAAAAAAAAACAATAGTGTCCTGTTCTAAAACTGTTTTTAGCTAACTTTTTTATGCAGATAGAAATCAATGATCACGAAATAAACTGAAGATTCCGTTTAACAGACTTGAGACTCTTCAAACTTTCTAAATTTTAGAACTTCCAATATTTCTATTTCATTTTGTTGTTTTAATTTATTATTTTTTATTATCTTTAATCATGATTTATATATAAAGCTTAACAGTTTGTTGGTCAGTCAAAAAGCACATATAGTAAAAAAAAAACTTTGAATATATATATAAATAATTTAAATGTTTTCTTACAGTGCAAAACAGTTTGACACTTTTTATTTTTTTCATAATTCCAGTTGATAAATATTTTCAAAATTTTTATTCTTTTTCCACTCTCATGCCTGTTTTAAATTCTGCATGGATACCAACATAAATGTATTTATTTTAAACTGTTCAGACTAAGCTTGACTTGGTCTGTGTTTTTCTCATTATATAGCAAATTCATCATAACAGTAAACATTACACATTCTCTGTATTATAATTTTTCACATATAACCATTTTAACTTTTTTTTAAACAAATCTAATAGACACTTAAATAGTCCTGTAAAAATGTGCATAGTAATATGCATAGTCCCATAGTAATATGCTTTAGTTGTAGTGACATACAAGTCCTTTGGACCAGTGGCTGGAATTTCTAATTTCTACTCCAGCATGATGCTTTGTTATTTTCAGTTTCTTCTAATAAATTAGTAATCTAAATTTAATTTTTGACTTAATGTTCAATCTACTGTTATGTCTACTATTACACCCAAAGAAAACAGGCAGTTTTCTTTTCAAGTAAAGACCAAAAATAAAGCAAAAAATTATAAAATGATGAAACAAAAAAATTTATTTTGCACCAGTGAAAATATTTATAAATCACTCTATTTAATTTAATTCAGTGCTGCTGCTTTAAACTTTTTCAAAATAATTTCTAAAAAAATCATACGACTTAGTAAAAAACATAATTTATCTGAGTTCTGAATTAATCAACTCTTGAATTTGCAATACTAATTTCATAAAAACAATATATATATACAAGGGGTGATCAAATGAAAAGGTACGAAACGACACGGTGGGTACAAATGTAGACTTAATTCAAAGTATACACCATAGGCTTCAGTACAACGATCCCACTGATGAACAAGCCGCAGGATTCCTTGTTCCCAGAATTCCTGTGGTCGTGACGAGACCCAGTCCCTCACAGCGTCCTTGAGTATGTCGTCCGAGTTGAAGCGCTTCCCTTTCAGGTGTTTCTTCAGTGGACCAAACACATGGAAATCGCAGGGCGACATGTCCGGACTGTAAGGTGGATGGTCCAGTGTATCCCACTTGAACTTGGCCAGTTCCATGTGTGTGACACTGGTGACGTGTGGACGCGCATTATCATGAAGTAGAACCACACCCTCCGTGAGCAGCCCAGGTCTTTTGTTCTTGATGGACCTGCATAGGCGTCGGAGTGTCTCACAGTACTCATAGGAGTTAATGGTTTTAATGTCATACCTCGAATGACATTAAAACCATTAACTCCTATGAGCTCGAATTTCTGTTCCTCATACGAACTGCCGCATCATTTGGACGCCACTTTTGATAAGAGCCTGTGCTCTGTCCTGCACATGCGGGCTCCCACGCATTCTCCGATCCCAGTCAGAGACTCCAATCGCATCCCGAGATGTCTGGCTACGCTCTCCCTTGGCGGAATATGCAAATATTTAACTGTTACGTTTTTACGTCATTTTGTACCTTTTCATTTGATCACTCCTTGTATATTTATATATATTATAGAATAAGTAGTTATGATTATTGTTAGCTTGATTTTTTTAAAACAATTGCGTAACTGTTTTAATTAAAGACTTAATTAAATTTTGTTTGAATAAAAATTCTTAAAAACTTCCAAAATATTTGGAAAAAAAATTTAATATATCTCCCCGTTCCATACACCAAAAAAAAAAAGAGTTAAGATTCATAAAACTATGACAACTAACAATCTTCAGATGCTTGACAGTTAGTACAGAAATTCCATCAAATTACAACTACCTGGCTGGACATTTATAGCAAATTGAAGAATTCAAATTGTCTGTGACTAAATATCTTGATAAATCAAGTGATGTGAATAGTTAGACTATTGCATCTTGCTTCCAAAATACTAAAGTTAAAAATATTTCTTTGATATGGACATATTTCTAGTGCTGCTCTGGTAAACACGAAATTCAATTTTGTATACCTTGATGATAAAAAATTACAATACCGATTGCAAAACTATGAAATTGTTTCTCTTTTTTTACTTGACACCACATGTGTAAAGAGACTAATTCATAATAAAAACTAAAGAAATAAAACTTTAAAGCAGCACTTCAAAATTTTCAGCAATAATGCTGGGACACCTTTAACAAAATTTGCTTACTAAGCACCAGATGTCTCACTAACATAAAACTTACAATTTTTTAATGACGTACGTATCCAGTCTGACAGTCCTTTAAAAAAACCTACTAGATGGCTTAACGACATCGAAAATAATCTGAAAACCCTAAAAATCAGAAATTGCAAGGTAGTTGCCATGGATAAGAGGCGCTGGCGTTTGTCAGCTGTTGAGGCAGCCAAGGCCTGCAAGGGGCTGTTGCACTGACAAAGAAGAAGAAAATCCAGTTAAGATATTAGTTTTTATTCGTGAACTTATCTGCAATGGTACTGAAGCTATCACTCTCTTCATTTTGCTGGAATGTTAAAGGGGAAAAAAAAACTATATGCATTGAAAGGTGTTTATATGAAATAAAAGACGTACTATCTACAATTTATTAGTTATGTTACATACATATGATTAAATAAATCAAAATTAAACTTAAAACAAGTTGCTAAAGTTCATCTATTTCAGGATGATCATTTGGGACAAAAGTTTCATGTTCTCTCTTTGGTAACAATGTCAATGGATTAACCATTAAAGGTTTCAGCGTATGGCCAACTTCATGTGTCCTATATTTGTTCCCGAGTAAGCTAAAAATAGAAAAGAAACAAAATTTAGTAACCAATAAAATATAAGATGTGATTTCTTCAAAAATACAAACATTTTAGATGGAAAATATGAGTAACATGTTATAACAGAGAGAAAGCCAACCTTTTTCAGTGAAAGGTCACTTGCACGACAGACTGACCAATGAAAGGACGGATGCATAAGCACTTAGACATATTGATAGCAATTATATAAATTTTTATATTGACATCAATGTTCTGATCAGTAAATCCATTTAATTAGTCAACTTAGGGATATCACTTTATGAAATTAATTACTGTAAAAAATAAAATACTATTAAAAGCTAAATATTTAAAAAATAATACACTTACAGAGAAAATTCACTTTTATCGCTTTTTTAAAAAAGGCTAAAAGCATTGGAGAATGTTTTTTTAGCATAGATGCATAATACCATACTTTGTTTTAAAATAAATTCTTACTAAAAATATTTAATGTTCATAGAATAAAAATAAAAAAAAGCATTAGGAACTTACTTAAATTATTGAAGAAAATTTATGGGAATAAAAATTAGTAATATCAAAACCACATAGAACTATTCACACTGTATACAAAAGAAAATCATGTATGCGAATTCAGAGGTGTGAACCAGAACCTGATTGTTGAAATATATTTACCCATGAAAGACACTTCAATTAGGTTCCTGTTAACATCTCCAAATTTACATACATCATTTTTCCACATGCAGTATGAATAACCCTCAACTGTTTGGATTTAAAAATGAAATTCTGTGAATCAAGTGAGTAAAAAAAATTATCATTCCAAATAAGTAACAGGATTTTAAAAACAATTAAGAAGCCCATAGCAAATAAGAAAAAAAAATCTGAAATCAGAAAACCACACATATTTATGATTAATAGGTAAAAATCGAGCATGCAAAAAGTAAATGTTCAAATTCATGATTAAAAACTTTGTGGTCTAATAAATTTAAAAAGTTTAACAAAAGAATCACATTTTTTGTGCTTGTTTTGGACTTTTGTTTTAATGGAAAATGATAATAAAAAATAGGAAACTAATATGCTGCTTTGATTCAATTACTCTTTTGTTACAAATTTGTATCTCTTGCCCCAATTTTAGATAACATCTTATTATCTTTTAGTGATTTACTAAAAACTAACTGTATCAACTCACATATAACTAAAATACAATAGTTTACATTGAGGAAAGAACACCTTCATAATAAACAATTTTATTAAAGGTTTGCCACTTTAGAATAAATTTTTGTGTTATCAATATTAAACATAAATTTTTGCCAGGGTGTTGCAAAATTTTATACACGGCTCATCATTTTTCAGAATTTTCTTTTAAAATCTTTTCGGTCTTATGGACTTGAAAATTTTTTGAAGTTGCAATTCTGCTTCTGCAAATTTGTATAAAAAATCATTGATAGGGCTCGAATGTGATTTCTGCTTGAAATGCGCTTCCTTGGAAATTTAGCATACAGGCCACAAAAGGAAAAATTTTGAAACAAACTTTCTCCTTTGCTCGCAGTTCAAGAACAGGGCGCATAGACAAATCTCTCAACAAAAAATAAGCACCCTTAAAGTACTTTTTAAGCACTCAAAAAGAATTTAAGCACTATTTACATCAACAAAATGCAAAATAATTTTAAAAGACTTTACATGATCATGATAAAATAACTAGTTTCTGACAAAGAACTCTTTTTCTTGATTACATTAGTCACCATAAAAAGACAGTGAGAGTTTTTGGTTCAATTTCAGAGGGAGGAAAATGAAGCCTGAAATTGAGAATCTCTTGCAAAATGCAGCAGAGTTGCACACGAGATTGCAAGAATCTCACTGAATACAGCTCAGTAGTCACTCTTAAGTATTTCATCAAACATGTAACATGATTGTTCATACGTTATGAACCGATGGTACGCCGAAATAGGATAGTGGTTGAATGAATTGTGAAAATGTTGACT